CAAGTGCAGACGTCGCTTGGAAATGAGCAGTTGATGTAGCAGCGTGTTTATCAAAACACTGCAACTGTCCGACAGTGTGAGGGTATGAGGTGGCCTGAGGAAACCTTTTTCGTGATTCCTGTAGTAATTCCATCTGTGATGAAGGTCGAAGAAAGGATCGGTAGTTGTGGTACCGTTGTTCCGATTAGAGACATGAGAATATGATTCCATCTCACAGTTCTTCCTGGATGGAGTTTCAAGGTTGTAACTTCATTCTCCATTTCTTGATTTTGAATTGTGATTTGAATTTCGACAGCGAGTTCCCATGTTGGGCAGTTGAAAACTTCGTAGACCACCGGCGATTCTGGGTAAGCGTAATATCTGTAGAATAAGCAGCTTGACATGCAGAGAAAGCAGCCACCACAAGTAAGACATCCGCAGCTCGCTGCGCAAAATGTGAACCCTGGGTGATCGTTTGCTGTTCTTGAGAATTCTTCTATTCGATCCGTTGTTTTTGTGTTGTCGCATGTGTCCATTCTGCAACTGCCAGCAAATCTGCACCGATGTACTGATTCAGAGTAGAACTGATGGTCACGCGTGTAGAACTCTGTTCTTTTTTGACATGTGTAGTAGATGTCCTTGATCCTGATGGTAAGGAGGCCAACTGATTTGTCGTTCGTTGTCTTTGAGGATCAGACATGTTTCCTGATCAAGAGGTTGGAGAGTCATGATTGTAGCCTGGTTGTACGTGCATGTCTGATTTGTTTCGGAACTGACGCACATCTCTTCCGAAGCGGTGAATGAGATGAAATCTGAGCATGGTGTACTTGACTGCAATCCGAAGATGATGATTGCGATCAAAAGTTTCCGTCGATAGCCAGTATATTGTCGGAATCCTGATGGTCTTTTCTGTCGTGTCGGGCAGGGGCGAAGTCGTCTGACAGCAAATCTGCACATGCGAAACATGATGTCGACTAAGAGGGCAAAGAGGTGTAACAAGGGTGATAGTAAGGTAAGTCCGATGAAGGCGATGATAGTGATAAGTCCTGCTATGACTAATTGAATTTTCGTCCAGCAGTGAAGATTGTAGATGGATTCCCAGCAAACTGTACACTGTATCATTTCGCAGATAGCTTGAGCTTGACAGAAGAGCTGTTGACGGTGAATGAGTTTTCCCTTTGACCATGCTGAGATATGTACTTCGTAATCGAATGCAATGAGAGCAGTAGGGAACATGGCTGGCGAATTTGTTGAATTCGTGATAAAGAGGCAATAATTTGCAATGCATGCTTCCAGTGCATCCATAGGTACGGTTGAGGTTATTTGTGCTCCTCCTTTGACACAGATTGCTGAGATTTTCATTTCAGAAGTCATAGGTGCAAGATGCCCGTAGTATTCTTTGGTTGTTACTCCCCATGCCTTGACTATGAAGTATCCTGTGGAAGTTGTGAATATGGCGGTAGACGTGCCGAACGCACAAAACAAAGGGGCATTATCGTTATACCAGTTTAGCTCCGCCCGCTACGCGCGCGCATGACACGGAAGCCTCTGACAAAACTGACAATCGGTGAAGCTTTGGGTTTCACCGCTTAACTATAGCTGCTTCGTTAAATGCATTACTGTCCGTTGCCCATCTTGGCTGTATCTCACTGTTTGATAAGCGCAGTGAAGTGCACAGCTAAAGTGATGTATGTAAACAACCACCATGCATCGAGAATCGAGGAAATTTAGCGGTCGAATAATTTTTGGTAATCTCAAGACGGAATGCCCAGTATTCACTATCAAATTTATTAGAGCATCCCATTCATCCTCAAGAACTCTAGAAGGTGTAGCGGTTGAAAGGTGTTTGAATTTACAATTATAACGCTAATGAAATGATATTGAAATGAAATGCATTATCTGCAATCTGGTTTCGAGTAATCTCTACGTTCGTACGCATATCGTAATTATCAGTCCTCATCTGTCGTTATCACTTTTTGACCCCACAAAATATGTTACCGTCCACCCCCATATCATGTCCCAAAATCAGTTCCTGACGACTGCTGCGAAGCGCACTATGAATTTCGTGAAATTGTGTTTCAGCGCCTCTTATCTGCTCTTATCAGTCGTTATCACTTTGTGACCCCCACCAAATATGTTCCCGTCCCACCCCCTATATCATATCTTGAAACCAACTCCTGACGACCACTGGTGCCCGAGCTATGAATTTCGCGACACTTGCGTTCTAGCGCCTTTTATCAGCCCTTATCAGTTGTGATCACTTTCTTTACCCCACCAAATATGTTCCCGTCCCACCCCCTATATCATATCTTGAAACCAACTCCTGACGACCACTGGTGCCCGAGCTATGAATTTCCGGTCAGACAGACAAACACATACACACACACAGACACACACACACAACCGCTTAGCCGATTATATATAGTAGGATTCCTTTTTGTTGCAGAAGTAGGATGTTCTGGTGTAAGGAGGTTTTGGATGTTGCCGTAATCCTTGGGAATCAAAACATATGAAATCTTCAGCATCAAGATATTCTTTGATGGCGATGTGTAATTCTGGAACGACGAGTAACGTTCCGTCATAAAGCTCCACTTGGTTGAAACTGCCGATTTTCCTTTTACTATCGCATTTGGTTGAAGATGTAAAGGAGCACACCTTGTCCGGAACATAGGATGAGATGTCGAACGGAACGTTGGAAAGATTTGAAGAGTTTCTCTTTGAAGTTGTGGTGAAGGAGCATGAAGTTGCCCATGAAGGACATGTACATTCTGGGCCACAAAGGGCTTGATTCTGAAGCAATGGAATCGACACTCGAATGTGTCCGGTAGGACATGAAATTGGGAACCAGCATACTTTAGTCCCTTCGCTTGATTGATATGTAGCAAGTGCTACTCCTTGATTTACACAATTGGTTGCATATATGATCTTCTTTGGAATGTTGAGCTCGGACGGACACCTTGTGGATGCGTTCGTCGTTGAACATAATGTGACGACAATCGCTAGAGAGAGGAGTGTTCCAGCATTTTTAGCGAGCGTCTTCGATCTTGTCATCATTGGGTGTCCACGTGGTGGAGTTGGTGGCGAGGCTTCTTCGGGTGTTGTTTCTTTTGTATCGCAAATTTCCATTTTGCAAAGCAGGTTAATTGGTCTTGTGATGATTCTTTTGGAAGGTAGCTTGACGTTTGCCGAACGTTGGTAGTTATCGGATGACGATATTATTTGACCGATCTGCCATTGTCCTCTTTCTAGGTTTTTGTCTTGAATCAGAACAATGTCGTTCTTTTTTGGTAGAGATTCGTTGGTACATCGTGGATGTGGGTGCTTCCTGCGATATTGTTCTCTCAAGCTTGTGAGGTACTCTGCTGACCATCTGCTCCAGAAGCGATTGAGTATATTGTTTGTGGCATTCCATCCTTCGATTAGCAGATCTCTGGTAGTTGTTGTTGGTTTCCATTCCGTTTCTGATTAGCTCCGTCGTGGCATAGACAAAATAGTTCCTGGTCGAAGGAAATCAATTGGACGAAGTGGTGGTACGTAATTTTCTTCGGAGATGTAGGTGAGCGGTCGAGAATTCACGATTGCTTCTGATTCCTTAGCAATGGTTTGAAGTTCTTCCATTCTCAGTAGGCGATTGTTTAGTGCATGTTTGTATGAGACTTTGAATATATGCACCATTTTCTCATACAACCCACCCTGCCATGGGCTGAAGCTGGGAATGAATTTGAATTCGATTTTCCTCTGTGCGCAGTAGTCGATTATGTCCAGGCCTCTTTCTTCTTTAGTCGTAAAGGAAGATTGTAGATCCGCGATTGACTTGAACGTTTGCGAGTTGTCGCACAGAATCCACTTCGGGTATGCGACAGTTGCGAAGAATCTTCTGAGTGTGTGTAGCAACTTCTTCGCGGACATATCGGAAACAAGATCGACGTAAATTGCTCTTGTATTCAGGCATGTTAGAAGTATTATCCAATACTTCGCTGGTATGTTTTCGTCGGATTTGCATAGAAGTGGTCCTGCGTAATCCATCCCTACGCTTTCAAAGGGATAATTGGGACGTCGAACACGTTTTGCTGGATGCGGCGGGAATTCCGGAAGCTTGAATGGTTGAGCCGTATAGCGTTTGCAGTGATAGCAGAGTTTGTTGAGCACTCGCTTTATAGTATGCCTTCCTTTTGTTATCCATACCTTTTGACGAAGTTCGGTTAGTATATGGTTGACTCCGCAGTGGTTATTGGTAACGTGAACATGGAGAACATACAGGCTAGTTATATGGCTTTCTCGCGGCAGATATACGGGGCTAATCGCTTCTTTTGGGAGATCGGCATTCTCCACTCTTCCTCGAGACTTCCATAGTTTTGTTTCTTTACAGAAGTAGAGGTTCAGCTGTTCCGTGATTGCCTGAATTTGGTGGGAAGTCCATCTGTGCTTTCCGGAATAGAATAACTTCGGCCTTTTCATGAAGTTGTGAACTTGATTCTCCAAACTGTTGTTTAGCCTTGTTCGATTTTTTGACGATGAAAAGAAGAATGGTGTAAACCACTCGAAGTAAACGTAACCAGCTGCTGAATCGCTCGGGTTGGAATAGTGTATTCGTCGGTGGCGGAGCCGTGTGGACTTCGTCGACATGGCAGGAGACCTGGTTCTGTTCGGAAGAAATGTCAGCCGGCCAGTGATCTTCTGTTTTTGTGAGGAAGTGTGGTCCTTTCCACCAGGTATCATCTGAAACGAGCTGTCCTATGGAGACTCCTCTGCTACCAGCGTCGGCGGGATTGCTGTTACCAGGAGTAAATCGTAAGATAGCGTCAGGAGCGTTCATTCTTATGCTATTGATTCGATTCCGTATGAATACAGGTAGGGTTGCTCTGCTCTTGATCCACATCAATGCCACATTGCTGTCGGACCATATGAAGGTTTTGTCAATCGGAATGTCGAGGTTGGCGAGTATATGTTTCAAGAGCATTGATCCTAGATTGATGGCGGATAGCTCGAGTCGAGGTATTGTTAGGAGGGATTTTAGTGGTGCCAGTCGAGTCTTTGACATCAGGATTGTAGATGATCGAGTCTCATTGATTTCTACGAGGTAAGCTACGGCACAGTATCCAGCTTTCGAAGCATCTGTGAATACGTGGATTTCGAATGTAGATGTCGACTTTGTACCTCTTAGCAGTTTTCGTGCGATGGTGATGTTTGTTGTACTCCAGCTTGATATGATTTCCTTCCAAACTTTGACATGGTGTGGTGGTAGAGCTTCGTCCCATCCAAGTTTTTCTTTCCATAAGGACTGTAAAAATTGCTTGCTTGAAAACAGAACGGGAGAACACCAACCTAGCGGGTCGTACGTCTTGGCGACGATTTTGAGCACTTGTCGTTTTGTCCATGTGATGTCAGGTTCCGGTAGTGTTGGAAGTTTGATGGTAAACTGGTCAGATTCGACGTTCCATGAGATACCGAGAATTTTGTGGTTCTTGTCCATCTTCGTGCCTTCTTTTGTAGCGAAGAAGTTATTTAGCTCGTTGGAGTTACTTATGTACTGCCGAAGATTCATGCCAGCTTTTAGAAATAGTTGTTTGGACTCATTGTAGAAATCCTTGCCTTGGTCGATACTGTCGACGCCGTAGTATATATTGTCCACGTAGGTGTTTCTTATGAGTTCCTGTGCGAGTGGAGTCTCTGTCATGATAAGATGGTGTCGTATGGTCCCAGCAAGCAGGAATGGAGATACTATCAAGCCGAATGGTACTCTCCGGAATCTGTATGTAGTGATGTTGTCTGGCGAAACCGATTTCTGGGGATCCTTGAGCCATAGAAAACGCGTAAAGTTTTTGCTTTCTTCATCCAATCCAATCATCAAGAACGCCTTTTCTATGTCACTTGAGATGATGATGGGAGTAGTTCGTATACGAAGAATCAGTCCGGTGAGGTCAGGCAATAGTACCGGTCCTCGAAACAGTAGATCGTTTAGGCTTGGGTTGTCCATTGTTTTTGCTGATCCGTCGTACACGCAGCGAACTTTTGTCGTTGTGCTGCTTTTCGAAATGACTGCGTGATGTGCTAAGTAGTGACAGCAACTTGGAGGCATAACTTCGTCAACTTCTTCTATTATTCTTCTTGCGAGTTGATCTTGAATGAGTCGATGATACTCCTCTAGAAGTGCTGGTTTCTGTCGTAGAACTTTGACGTTTTGAACGAGTCTGGCGTAAGCTAGCTGTAGATTTGATGGAAGTTCCTCCTTATTTCCTTTGAATGGAAACTGTACAACATATCTTCCTTCGCTTTCATCGTAGAAGATTGTTTCATTGAATTTTCGCATGCACATTTCGTCGTCAGTCGTCATATGGTTGTCCACTGTTCCTTGTGATTCGAGATCGAAGAACCGTTGCAGAAGATTGTCCAGATTTTCGTGTTCCTCCGTAGTTGAGTTGTAGCAGTAGTTTGCAGCTTTTCCTGTTCGCAATGGTTTTCCCGTGACTATGTCGCCGACGGAAGAATGTACTATTTGATAACCGCTTGGTAAGTTTTTCACGTAGAAATCGTCCGACAGGATGATGTTCCAGAAGTAGTCCGCGCCGATGAGTATAGATGGCTTCTTTGATTCAGCAGCGAAAGTGGCCATTTTTTCGAGTTCTTCTGTAAACGTGACTATTTTTAAATCGTTTGTCAAGTGTTGAATGGCTTTGACAAAGAGAATCTGGGCTCCTTTGAGCGTTTGAAGTCCTATGGCGTGATGAGTCGCAGACAGAGAGACTGGTTTCACTGTTCCAAATGTGAACATGGAGAGTTCTTCTGTTTCCTCGATGGGAAGTGCGAGCCTGTTCGCGAGATCTGTTGTGATGTAACTTCTACTGGATCCACTATCGAGAAAGGCAGTCGTCTTGACGACTTGTTCCGGATTCTTGGGATTGAAGACTTCTACTTCAGTGCACATCAGTAGAACGGGTGTAGATGGCGGTGTCAGCAAAACGTCAGAAGAGTTGGTTGAGGCAGTTACTTCGTTCGCGATGGTATTGTTTTCTTGTTGAGTAGTCGAAGGTACAGCACTGGAAACGAAGTGTACCTGCTGGTTTCGTACTTCCTTGTGTTTTACATTTGATGGTGCTGCTTCCAATGAATCATGACGGTATTTCCTTTGATCCTGTTGTTTCGCGGATGTTTGGAAACATAGCGTCGTATGATGACGTCGCGCACACGTCTGGCAAAATTTTTTCGACGGACACTCCTTCGTGCGGTGTTTGCTGGAGAGACAATTGAAGCAAAGTTTCTTATCTCTAGTGATTTGAGCACGAAGTTGTGGGGTAGGAAACTTGGTGCAATAGAAAGTTGAATGTTGATTTGACTCACAAAAGGTACATCTGAGCTTGTTGGACGTCGAGTTTGTTGGCTGAAGTCTTCTCGTATGTGTAGGCTCGCGTCGAAAACGAGGGCTCTCTCGGAAGTTTTTCTTCTGACTTCTGTGCAGACTGGCATACGCATCTTCGTGGGGATGTTGGAAGCTCTTGCAGTGGAATTCTATTTCTTGCAGAGTAGCCTCCTTATGAACGATTGACGTCAGTATGTGTAACAGCTCCGTTGGTGTGAGGTTGTGGGAGTTTCCTGTTGCGTCGTAGATTCTGCTCCTTATGTGACGCGGAAGTTTATTGATGAGGATGGCGCCAAGTGCGATTTCTTTGGAGTCGTCTTCGTATGAACAGAATTGTCTGGTTAAGGCGAACATCTTATTGTAGAGTGATTGGAGATTTTTGCCTTCTGGATCACATGGAGGTAAATTGGCGAGTTGACTGAATAAGATGTGTCGTGTAGTTACCTTGTCATCGAACCTGGTCTTCAGAATGTCGAGAGCGATTTGATAGTTTGTTGCCGTCAGAGCGAGTCCCTGGATTGAGTGCAGTGCTCGTCCTCGCAAGCATGATTTCAATAGAGAGAACTTAGTTGTGTCATCAAGTTCTTTCTTGTCGCCGATTAATGTCGAATAGCGTGCAAAAAATTCTGGATATTCCAACAGGTTACCGTCGAAGGATGGTAGATCGAGTCTGCTCAGAATTGATGCATCTACGAAGTTCGTTGTTGATGTTGTTTCTTGACGCTGCTGCTTGCTGGATAGTTGTTGAACATGAAGTAGTTGTTGTGGAGTCCCTTCATAGTTGTGAGGTTGTGTCATTTGAATCGGCAACTGACGTTTGGCGAATTCCGTATCAAGATGGTTAAGAAGCTCGTCAGAATTTTCGAGAGTACTTACTGCTTCTTGGATGGTCTTCGTATAGTCTCCATATTTTTCCAAGTATTGGGTGAATACCAGACGTTCATTTGGATCGGCTTCTTGTGCGCTGGACCATTCCGTATGGAGTCGTTCAATCAGTGAATACGCTTTCAGCAATTTGTTTCTTGCATCGATGATTTCTTCTTGAAATTCTGTGATTTCTTCATCACTGAACTGTTGAAAACCGACCTCCTTTTCTGGGATGTTGTTGTCGCGGAGAATCTGCTTGAATACCTCGATGTGTCGGGCGAGTTTCTTCTTCTGGATTCCGATTTGGCGGCGAATTTTTTGACTATCGAACATGGTTCACTATGATGACAAATGTGACGTCGGAGTTGGCTTCTGTCGTTGGTGAAGAGGAAGGGGGGGGGGGGGGGGGAATGGGATTGCTGGTCTATGGCAAGACGTAGGAGGTGTTGAGAGATGGGTTACGGGTGTGGAAGGTGTCGGTTGGGAAGGGAATGGCAAGCAAGCAGCCGCTGAGGTTGACGTAGACTTCGGATGCGTCGATGTTTTCGTCGTAGTACTTGTTGACTTGGAGTTGTTGATGCCGAGCTTGCGGATTTGTGAGCTTCGACTGGCAATGAGTAGGTGCGGATGCTGCAGGAGTTGACAGGTGAGATGAAGTCTTCGGTGTCGACGGCGAGTATTTGCGGACGTGGAACCTGTCGTTGCGTCGTGTGGATGTGGGACGGGAGGGGGAAGTGATGGAAGTGGGAGTTGTACGAGGCCGGCGATGTAGGAGTAGGCTCTTTTGCTGTCGATGGGAATGCGTGGTTGAGAAGTTGCCACTGGTACTGGAGCTCCAAGTTGCCAGCGTTACTGGAGGATCGGGATTGCCGTGGTCGCCATTTCTTGGATTGGAGACAATTTGGTCGGAACCATTTATTGATAGATCCATCGGCTTATATACCGTCCTATTTCAATAATTTCAAGCCTTAGACAAAATATATGAAACATATAAAAATGTGATTCATTAGATAGCAATTTGAAGTGTTTTGATGTCTCATCGAATTTCCTGTAGAATTTCCTCATAATTCTGCAGAATGCAGAAAAGTGGTCCTATCCCTTGACTTCCTTCTAAAAGCTGGAAGGGCAATGCAGAGATGATGTGGGAATCGTGGTTCAGCAAATTTCTTTTTAAATGTGGCCAGTTATCTTTGAACCAGTTGGCGCCGTACAGCACATTCCTGTGAATATGGAGTGGGGCGGCGTAAATTCCTAAGTTTGGCAAGATACTCACGAACATTTGACTTCTGAGCTAGATTCTATCCGCATTTTCTCGGTCTTCTGGAACATACTGCGAGTTTGGATTTATGCTCCGCTCATCATGTCCCATACCCCACCCACCGATGACTTTTGACCTTCTACTATTCAACCATTGTCCACTTTTCCCGACTGCCTCTGAACCGATTTATAACTCTCGCGGTGAATTCTGCCTATTTAGGAGCATGTCCCGCCCACCAGCAGCATCCTCTCTTCTTTGGTGCATCGCCCCCCCCCCCCAACCAATGGAACTTAACCATCCTTTCCTTTGTCGGCCTCGATCCACATTTTCGCCTTTTCTGGAAATTTTAGAACCGAGTTATGAAATCGGCAACGGATTCCGCCGACTTTATTACAT